CTCATAAAATCATAGAGTTCCTTCAGTGCAGATAAAGATCATTTGGCCCATGTGTCTGCACTGACTCTCCAAAGCGCAAAGTCCACCCTATCCCCATAACCCTGCATCTTACCATGGCTAATCCATCTACATATCACTGGGCACTACAGGGCAATTTAGCATGGCAATCCATCTAACCTGCACATCTTTGGACTGTGGGAGGAAACTGGAGGACCCAACATAAATGCACACAGACACAGGAAAAACATACAAAAACAAAGTTGCTGGAAAAGCTCAGCAGGTCTGGCAGCATCTGTGGAAGAGAAAACAGAGTTAACGTTTCGGGTCCGGTGACCCTTCCTCAGAGTTCTGTTTTCTCTGTTTTCTCCTCCACAGATGCTGCCAGACCTGCTGAGCTTTTCCAGCAACTTTGTTTTTGTTCCTGATTTACAGCATCCACAGTTCTTGTGGAAAAGCATACAAGTTCTACACAGACGGTCACCCAGTGCTGGAATCAATTGTGAGTCCCTGGTGCTGTGAGGCAACAGTGCTAACCACTGAGGAACAATGTCATTCTAGGGAATCCAGTCTCATGTTCCACAATCCTAATTCCTCAATTAGACAATTCTGCCATCTCTGGGATGAATCATTGCACTCCCTTTATGGCAAGTATATCCTTCCTTAGAAGAGGTGATCAAAACTCTCCCTCAACAGACTCCCTACTAGTGTAGCAAGACATCTTTACTCCTAAACCCGGATCCCCTTGAAATGAGAGCCAATGTACTATTACCCTCCTTATAGATTATGCATGCTAACTTTCAATGATTCACGGACAGGGAAACCAGGTCCTTTTGTCACCAATAAGTACTAACCTGTCCACTTTTCAGAAATATTCTGTCTTCTCTGCCCAAGAGGATAACTTTACACTTGTTCACATTGTATTCCACCTGCCAGCGTCTGATCCACTCATTAAACTGCCTAAGTGCTCTTGAAGCATCCTGTGTCCTCACAACTTAGATTCCCTCCATTTTTGTGTTATCAGCAAATTTATACATATTATAATTGGTCCCCACATCCAAGTGATTGTGAATAATGATTTTATCCCATCTCTGCTTTCTGTCTGTTAACCACTTCTCAATCCATACCAGTACGTTACCTCCAATCCCAAGCACTCCAATGTTGTTATTAACCTTCTGTGTGGGATCCTATCAAAAGTGATTTGATAATTCAAATTTATCACATACTTTTTTATGTAGTCTATAAGTAACATGCTCAAAAAACCCCAAAGGCTTGTCAGACATGATTTCCTTCTCATAATTTATTCTGACTCTTCCCAATTTTGCCATTATTTTCTAAATTTCCAGTTATCACATTCTTTGTAAGATAACCCAACATTTTTCCTATTACTAACATCAAGCTAACAGAATCACAGAATTTTTACGGCAGAAGGAAACCATTTAGCATCTTGCCCCTGCAGCAGCTGTTCAAACAAGCATCATGAAGTAGTGCCAATCTCCCACTTTTTCCTCATATCTTTGCACACTTTTTCTATCCAAATAATCATCCAATGCGCTATTCACCAAACAAGTCTATTATTTTCCATTCTCCTACTCCCTCCCTTTGTAAACACAATGAGATTACACTTGCTACTTTCCAGTCAGCAGGAACCTTTCCAGAATCTGTAAAATTTTGAACATTAACTGCCAATGTATCCATTATGTCTAATAGCCACCTCCTTTAACACTCTTGAATGTACCTGTTACAATTGAAACCTCCATGTTATGTCTTTGCTATTATAGGGCTCGCTGCAAATCCAGTCCAGGGTTTTGCCCACTATTTTAGATATTGGAAAAGTCTTGCCCAGTATGTCAGATGTTGGGGAGTTTTGCTTGATCCTACACTATTTTGGATTTGTGATCAGAAAGAACCCTTCGGGATGGTTTCAAACACTATAAGGACCTGTGTGATTGAGAAATCTGTTGTATTTAACAGATCACCGATCATTTCTCCATAGCCAGGTAGATCTTTTTGAAAACATGGCTCAAAGAGCAACCTCAGTATCTTACAAATCCATTCATGGGGTGTGGGATTTGATAAAATCATTCAAGTTTCACAACATTGAATCATAGAATCCCTACACTGTGGAAGTAGGCCCTACGGCACAACAAGTCCACACTGACCCTCAGAACATTCCACCCAGTCCCATCCCCCTATAACCCACAAATCCCTGAACACTATGGACAATTTAGCATGGCCAATCCACCTAGCCTGCACATCTTTGGACTGTGGGAGGAAACCCACGCAGACACAGGGAGAATGTGCAAACTCCACACAGACAGTTGCCTGAGGGTGGAATCAAACCTGGGTCCCTGGTGCTGTGAGGCAGTAGTGCTAACCACTGAGCCACCATGCTGCCCTTTGATGGTGTAGTATTGTGGAGCAATTGCCCAATCACTATTCCTGACTGCGGTAGCAAATCTGATGTAAAAATATGCCAACATAAGATGAAACTCATAATTGGGTACATTGCTTAAATCTTGGTGCACCTCTTATCATTTTTATTATGTACGGAATTCATTGCTGAGGTCTTAAAGAAACTATTATATTGCATATATCTGTGAGGGCACATCAAAGTTCTTTTCACAAAAAGAAAGAACTATTTAAGAGGTGTACACAGTTGGTTTTGAGGGTATGAAAAACAGCTAGAATACAACACTGCCTGATAAAAAAGGAAATAAGCAAACAGTGATAGTAGGAACTGCAGATGCTGGAGAATCCGAGACAACAAGGTGCAGGGCTGGATGAACACAGCAGGCCAAGCAGCATCATAGGAGCAGAGAGGCTGACGTTTCGGGCCTAGACCCTTCATCAGAACAGTTTTGTGTTTAGGTTTTACTGGAACAGCTGTCTGAGCTTTGGTTTAATATTACTTCCAGCAAAGCTGCACTCCCTGCCATATTCTGCTCAATTCCTGCAATAAGTCTCAAATCTACAGATAATTCTCTGACTGCACAAAGTAATCAAAGTCAGAAGTTTAACTGAAATGTCATAGAGTGATAGAGTCAATGGAGACCTACAACATGATGGCTCAGTGGTTAGCAGTGCTGCCTCACAGCACCAAGGACCTGGGTTCGATTCCAGCCTCAGGCAACTGTCTGTGTGGAATTTACATATTCTCCCTGTGTCTGCATGGGTTTCCTCCCACAGTCCAGAGATGTGCAGGGTAGGTGGATTGGCCATGCTAAATTGCCCATAGAGCCCAGGGATGTTTAGGTTAGGTGGGTTAGACATAGGAAATTAGGGGAATGGGTCTGGGTTGGATGCTCTTCAGAGGGGCAGTGTAGACTTGTTGGGCCAAATAGCCTGATTTTGCACTGTAGGGATTCTGTGATCTATGAGCACAGAAAAGACCCTCCAACCTTACTATCTACACAGATCAACAGCAAGCACCAAGCTATTCTAATCCCATTTGCCATCTTTTGGCATAATATGCCTTGGCATTGCAGGTGCACATCTAGATACTTCTTAAATGTTATGAAGGTTTCTCACTCTACCACCCTTATAGGCATGACTTCCAGATTCTCACCACCCTCTGGGTGAAAAGCTTTTCCTCACACCCCCTCTACACTTCTGTCCTTATCTTAAATCTCTGATCTCCAATCATTAATTCCCTCCATCAAGGGGAAAACTTTCTTTCTGTCTACCCTATCTATTCCTCTCATAATTTCAAGCATCTCAATTAGGTCCCGTCTCAATCCCTCCTGCATTAAGGAAAAGAACCCCAGTTTGTTACTCTACCGCTCAGGCAATATCTTGGTAAACTCCTCTGCACCCTCTCCAGTGCTATCACATCCTCCTAAAATATGGATTCCAGAACTCCACACAGTATTCTAGCTGTGGCCTAACTAAGATTTTATACAATTTCAACATAATCTCCCTGCTCTGAAACTCTATGTTTCAGCTAATAAAAGCAACTGTCCCCATATGCCATTTTATCCACGTGTCCCGATAACTTAAGGGATCGAAGTACATGCACACCAAAGTATCTCTGATTCTCAGTGTTTCTTAGAACCTTACTGTTCATCATGTATTCCTTTGCTTTGTTTATCCTGTCCAACTGCATCACCTCAAATTTATTCAGATTGTATTCCATTTGCCAGTGATCAGCCCATGTATATTCTCTTGTAATCTAAGGCTATCCTCCTCACTACTTACCACCCCACTAATTTTTGTATCATTGGCAAAATTGCTGATCAACCATTCAATTCTAAATCATTTATATATATCATAAATAGCAAGGATCCCACTGGGACCCCAGTGAACATTTGGAAAAGCATCCCTCAACCATCACCCTCTGCTTCCTGCCTTTTAAGCCAATTGTGGGTCCAAATTGCCAAACTTCCTCATATCCCTTTGACTCTTATCTTTGTTATCAGTCACTGACATGGGACCTTGTCAAAAGTCTTGCTGAAGTCCAAGTAGATTATATCAAAAAGCATTGCCCTCAGTTATACCTGATTGTTGATCACTGCTTTGAAAAATTGGTTGTGACCTCTCTTTAACAAAACCATGCTGACTATTCTTGAATAATCCCTGCCTTTCCAAATGCAGATTAATTCTGCCAATCAGAATTGTTTCCAATAATTTCCCCACCACCGATATTAGACTGACTGGCCTGTAGTTTCCTATTTTATCCTTTGCTCCTTTCTTTGTTTTTCATTCTTGTTTTCTGTTTCATGGGATATCATACAATCCCTACAGTGTTTGTAATTGGAATGGGTTGTATAAGAGAAAGACTTCTGTAAAACTGCTTTTGGACCATGCTTTATCTCCAGTCCAAAATTGCATTGGTGGTAACCACTCAATGATCACGAGCACTAAATTAAACTGTTTAAAGGCCATCTTGTTACTCGAATCACTGGCGTACTTGAGGTTGTTTTAATGGTGATCATGCACACCAAACTAAAAATAGGTGTCTGACTACATGATCCCTAGAAATTTGTGTATCACTGTTATTTGAGTACATGCACAGTACATGTTAGAATCTCCTGACTTGTATCTCCCTGTTTTACAGGTGATAGTCTGGGGAGATTATGGCAGAATGGACCACAAATGTTTTATGGGAGTGGTACAGATTCTACTGGAAGAGCTTGATCTATCCAGCATGGTGATTGGCTGGTACAAACTGTTTCCAACATCTTCATTGGTGGAGCCCACCTTGACTCCCCTTACTCGCAGAGCTTCCCAATCATCTCTTGAGAGTTCAACTGGACCCCCCTGTATAAGGTCATAATGAACTACTGGGAGGTCACCAACAGGACAAAAAGGCTGAAGCTAACCACAAATATGATCAAAATCACTGCTGGAGCCAGACAATCACACTTGTTTTATCAATAGTACTGGTTCAAAAAAATAATAGGGCTTCATAAATCCTAAAACAAAGTACATAGATATATGTGTATGTATTTATGTATGTATGCTGGCATGAATTGGCAAACACGCACTACATTAAATGCTAACTGGAAACTGATAGATCAGTCACCCTGAGTTTGCGTTAGAGACTAAATGAATGAGATCAGAGATCTGACTTTAAAAAAGTTCAATATTTTGAGTATGTAACAACAAACTGGAGAAGTATCAGACTCAGAAAAAAATTGAGTTGTTTATTCACGGTTCTGTAGAAACTATAAATACTGCTACCTTACAGATATTACATTTTGATTCCCTGCACACATTTCTTCCACCTGCTATCTGTTGTAATGGAAGCTAGCTAAACTTCTGCAAATGTTCCCCTCCCCGCTCCCAACCATACACCCCACCCTGATACTGACAGAGACCTTCTATTAAATGGTGCGCGTATCTTTGAGAGCCTCACCAAAGGGTGTTCAACAGCTACAGACTTTAGTGCAGAAGATGCCAGTGTTTCAACATTACTGGCTCCCAGTTAACACTACCAAACTTATTGTGAGTTAGATACAGAAAAAAACCTCAAAAATGTTGAGGTTCAGATTTAAGCAGTGCCCATCATATCTCCAAGGAAAAGCTCTCAAGTGTTATTTCCCATTTGCCACACAATTTGCCATTTTTTGGGGTTTTGTAAAACAGGCTCATGTTTGCATTTTGAATTACTATTTTTCATGTTTTCTGATGTCTTGCATGAAAAGAAGTTTGAACCTGCAGTCGGGCTGGGGACTGTTCAAAGTAGCTTCAGTCTTGATACTCTGCAGAGATTGTAGCACTAAGATGTTCCTTGTAATGCAATTCTTTTCCTACAATTACAAACCATTGAGATAACTTCTGTATAAAATTGTAAATTTGACTTCCCAAAGTGTTTACCAATAATGGATAAACTGTTTGAGCTGTACCTGGGATTTTTCTTCTTCATGTGTCACATGGCACTCTGATTTGCCCCAGACAGAGCATGATGCAAGTTGTTTGATGATCGCTGGAAATTACAGTTGATATTTCCTGCACACGTGGTGTTTTTTAAACTGACTTTCGTTTACATTATTTCAAAATTACTGCAAGCACAGTGCTTGTTTTTTTACAGTAAGATGTATTATTTTTTTGAAAGAAAAGCAAACTTTCAATTTGCTTTTTTTTAAAAAAAATCATTTCTTTCCTTGAATACCATTGGCCTGAAAACCCGTGTGTATTGATGTCAATGCAGGTAGTGATTCTAATTCCTCTCTCCTCCTCCCCTGCTCCTGCTGTCACAGGCCATTTTGATTTTTAGATCACTAATGTGAAGCAGCATGATTCTGGAACTGTTCAGTTGGTGCATGCATGTTTTGTAGGGGGAAGAACAACACAGATGTTAATTAATGTGTGTTAGTTCCACATAGGCCAGCTTGTATGTTGCATGTACTTGTACAGTTTGCTTGTTATTAATATAAAGAAATAACTAAGAAATCAAAGCCATTAATTTATGTTAACAACATTTTTGCTGATATGAACTAGGCTCAGGTCTGGTGATGAATGTGTATTGAAAACATTTTTTGTACCCCCTGGAGATTAACTGCTGATGTAGAACAGGAAAAGAACCCTATTGATTTTCGTGTAACTTCTTACATGTGGGGCTTTTACATACATTAGAAGCATTGTGTATACACAGAAAATTGACTTCTAGGTGTTCTGCCTGCACAGAGTGAATTGTCTTATTTAAATTGGCCAGCTCTTGAATTAATCTATTGTCCTACAGGATCTTTAAGTTTGATTACTGCCTGACCTGCTGAGCAGGAGGAATTAAACCACGGATTCACAAGGTTCTAGTCCCTTTACTGTGGCCAAAAGCAGCTGATTGGAAAGTACTTTCCTAACTGCAGCAGTTGTCTGAACATTCCCCTGTGCTTTTAAATGAACTTCAGACTCATGTTATGTAAACATGTTTAATAAAATTTACTTTTCATGTCAACTTTAGTTTCTTTTTCTTCATTATCCCTGTCCTAGATGGAAAGCATGGAGAAGGTCCAGAACAGGAGTAAAGAGAGCACATGAGATTAGATGAGTGGGTAACCTAATTAAGTAGCTTTTGGTAAGTGTATAAATAGTAAAAGAAGAGGCTCTTGTGGTACAGTTATAGTGTCCTTACCTCTGAGCCAGAAGGCCCAGGTTCAAGTTCCACCTGTTCCACAGATGTGTAGTAACATCTCTGAACAGGTTACTTATAAAATATCTATAAATAGTAAAAGGGCAATTATGGGAAAGGGTGGGAACAAAGTAAAGAGTGTTATGTGGAGACTGAGGGCATGGCTGAGATACTAAATGAGAACACTACAACATTTTACTTGAGAAGAGAGTGATTCTGATGTATCAGTAGAGGAGGAGGCAGTAGTGATACAGAATAGAATGAAATTACAGAGGGCTTGCACTAAAAAAGTTAGCAATCTTCAAATTAGAAAGGCCAGATGTTGGGATGAGAAGCTTCCTCCATTATTTGAAGAAAGGCAAAATGGAAATTCTCGTTCCACATCAGAGTGGTGACAGGTGACTGTTGAATTGCTCATGTTCCACTCTTGAACAGAAATGGAAGGTTAAATCCAGTTAATTGCTCAGCCTGACATTGTTGGTGAGAATGTTTACAGTCAATGGGCTGCATTTTACCATCTCTCTAGGAACATAGCAATTAGAAATAGACAATAAATGTTGGCCTAGCTAATGATGCCCACATCCCAAGATTGAGCTTAAAAGGGATTGAAGCCCCATTGACAACTTATTAATTATTAAAATTTAAAAAAAAAATCTTTTGAACAATGAGAGCATTGTATCCCGATTAGCTCACCACACTTTAAAAAGGTTCTTGGTAATTTGAAGAAGCCATTAGAAGACCAGTTAAAGGGATTAAGGAATTTTAGCCACAAGATTTGATTGGAAAAGCTGGGCTTGCTTTCCTTAGAGCAAAGGATATTGAGGAAAGATCTGATAGAAGTGAATATGATTATAACAGGTTTGGATAAATAGGCAAAGAAAAAGGGATTATATAAACTAAGGGTACAATGTTTTGGCAAAGATCTGTAGAATCATAGAATCCCTACAGTGTGGAAACAGGCCCTTTGGCCCAATAAGTCCATGCTGACCCTCAGACCATCCCACCCAGACCCATCCCCCTATAACCCACACATCCCTGAACACTATGGGCAATCCACCTAACCTGCATATCTTTGGACTGTGGGAGCAAACCTGAGCACCTGGAGGAAACCCACACAGACATGGGGAGAATGTGCAAACTCCACACAGACAGTTGCCTGAGGGTGGAATTGAACCTGGGTCCCTGGTGCTGTGAGGCAGTAGTGCTAACCACTGAGCACCATGCTGCCCCATAGCTTGGGTTGTGGATGAGGTTGTTGACTTGCTCGCCAAGCTGCTTGTTTTTGTTGAGACATTTCATCACCATGCTAGGTGACATCATCGGTGGACCCTCCAACGAAGCGATGTTATTCTACTCCGCTTGGAATTTATACTGTCCCATCCGTTATGGTGAGTCCTGTCATTGCTGGTTTTGATCTGTATGGGTTTGTATACGGGACCCAATTCTACATGTTCGTTGATTGAAATATGGGTGGAGAACCATGCCTCCAGGAATTCCCATGGATGTCAATGTTTGGCTTGGGCTACTATGGTTACTTTGTTCCAGTTAAATTGATGGCCTACATTGTCTGAATGTACCGATATTAAGGAGAGTGTGTCATGCCATTTTGCTGCTAGCTGATATTCATGTATTCTGATGGCTAGTTTCCTTCCTGTCTGTCCAATGTAATGTTTGTGGCAGTCGTTGTATGGTATTTTGTAAACCATGTTCATTTGTCATAGAGTGGCTGTGGGCTTGTGGGCCACCATGATTCCTAGTGGTCTTAGGAGTCTTAGGAGCCAGTTCCAATATGTTCTTGATGTAGGGCAGTGTGGCCAGTGTGTTAGGTTGTACTGTGTCCTCCTGGTGTTGTCTGTTTTGTAAGCATCTGTGGATGAAGATCCACCACAAAGACAAGAACAAGAACAAACCAGATGCATGGATAAGAAATGTATCTAACAGACAACTCACAGAAACTGAGAAAGCTGTCCTATTACATGGACTGAACTATAACCACAAACATACGAACAGAACAGACTCCATGGCCGCTCTGGAGAATACATGAAAAGACAACAAACTCACGGACGAAACACAACAAGCCACCGACAAACTATAATCCCCCCACTACACAGAAGGAACAAAGGGGACAACCTGAACACAGCAGAGAGAGAAGCACGAGATAAACTCAAGAAAGACAAGAACATCATAATCCTACCAGCAGACAAAGGGCGCATGACCATCATTATGAACAAACCAGACTCCGTTACAAAAGCACAGATATTCCTTGCAGATACAACCACTTACCAATAGTTGGCGATAGACCCAAAACCGCAGCTAGGTAATAGGAAGACCCAGACACTGAAGCGACTAATGAATGCAGGGCAGATAACCAAGATAAATTTCATGAGAATGAAACCAGAAGTCACGAACACCCCCTGCTTCTATGGACTGCCTAAAGTACATAAACCAGATATCCCTCTCAGACCAATTGTTTCCCTACCAGGCACACCGTCACACAAACTGGCCAAGGACCTACAACAGAGATTGAAACACCTAGTCGATGGATTACCCCATTCTATCCACTAAACCCAAAATTTCCTCGATACCTTCAAGAACATAAAAGTCAGCGACGATGAGATTATGGTATCCTTTGGCATCACAGCTTTATTCACACCAATCGACATCCCACTAGCCAAAGAAGCAGTGGCCACATTACTAGAGGAAACAGCAACGCAGACCAGCAACTCCATCAGCAAAGACAACATACTTAAATTACTAGACCTCTGCCTCACCACACACTTTGTCTTCAATGGTCAAATATACAGACAGCTCAACGGTACACCAACGGGGTCATCCATCTCAGGACTCATTGCAGAAGCAATCATGCAAAGACTACAACACACAACCCTCCCCCGCATTCAACCTAACCTGTGGATCCGGCACGTAGATGACACGTTTGTCATTATTAAATGCCACAAATTAGAAGAGACCCACCACCTCATCAACAGCATATTCACAGGGATTAAATTCACAAGGGAAGAAGAAAACAACAATCAGCTTCTGTTTCTGGATGTTAAAGTAGAGCGATTGACAAATGGGGAGTTCCAAACCTCAGTATACAGAAAAGCAAACCATATGGATCAAATCCTCAACTTCCACAGCAACCACTTCAACGTCCACAAACAAAGCTGCATTAGGACACTATTTAAATGGGCCAGGACATACTGCAACACTCCAGAACTATGCAGGAAAGAGGAAGAAGATTTATACAAGATCTTCGCTTTAAACGGATAGCCCCGCAACTTCATCCACAGATGCCTACAAAACAAACAACAACAGGAGGACACAGTACAACCTAACACACTGGCCACATTGTGCTACATCAAGAACATATCAAAAATGACAACAAGACTCCTAAGACCACTAGGAGTCATGGTGGCCCACAAGCCCACAGCCACTCTACGACAAACACTTAGAAGGATTAAAGACCCCATTCCCACAACATGCAGAACCAATGTGGTTTACAAAATACCATGTAACGACTGCCACAAACATTACATCGCACAGACAGGAAGGAAACTAGCCATCAGAATACATGAACATCAGCTAGCAGCAAATTGGCACTATGCACTCTCCTTAATATCGGTACATTCAGACAATGAAGGCCATCAATTTAACTGGAACAAAGTAACCCAAGCCAAACATAGACATGCACGGGAATTCCTGGAGGCATGGTTCTCCACCCATACTTCAATCAACAAATATATAGAATTGGACCCCATATACAAACCTGCACAAATCAAAACTGGAAATGACAGGACTCACCATAACTGACTGGACAGTATAAATTCCAAGCAGAGTAGAATAACATTGCTTTATCGGAGGCTCCACTGATGATATCACCTAGCATGGTGACGAAACGTCTGAATAAAAAGAAGCCAACTCGGCGAGCAAGTCAACAACCTCGAGGGTACAAAGGCTAGGTGACTACAGATTTAAGATGTTCAGCAAAAATCACAGGAAGGGCAGGACTTATACGCTTAATGGTCCTGGGATGTCCTTAATCCTGGGATGTGTTGCCGAACAAAGGGACCCTAAAGTGCAGGTTCACAGTTCCTTGAAAGTGGAGTCGCAGGTTGACAGAGTAGTGACTGTCTGTACACACTGTCTATACACACAGTACACACTGCTGACTCACTACCTTACACTCCCTCCCTCCTTCACACCTCTGCCACCTTACACTTCCTCTGTCTCCTATACTCTTTCCTTCACACTCACCTGTACAATCCTTGCCTCCCATCTATACACACTTCTCCCTCCTTTCCTTCCTTACACCGCAGCCCTCCTGCCCTCCCTCACTTCCTCACAACTCCCTTCCTCCCTTTCACATCCTGCTTACACTTCCCCTTTACATCATCCCCCTCCCTCATTTACACCATCTGTCCCTCACTTACACCTTCCCTCCCTCCCTTCCACCCACCTTCCTCCCTTACAAGTCCTGCTCCCTCCCTCATACACGACCTCTTACCCATCCCTCCCTTACACCTATCCTGACCACCCCCACACACCAACTCAGTCATACCCTTACATCATCCCTTCCTCTCTTACACGAAGTTCCCTTCCTTGTATCTTCTGTTATATGTCTCTCTCCTTCCTTCCTCCCTCTCTTTCAGCCCTCTCTTACACCCCCTCCCTCTCTTACATCCATTCCCTTCTTTTTGTAAGAGGGTACACGCCCACCTCTTACACCCACCTCCCGAACTGACAGCAATCCTCCCTACAATCCAACCCGATCCCTCCCTCACATACCCAACTCACACCTCCCTTACACACTGTTGCCTTACACC